CTCAGTGAAGGTCACTGCTCAGTGAAGGTCACGGTGTGCTCAGTGAACGTCACGGTGTGCTCAGTGAAGGTTACGGTGTGCTCAGTGAAGGTCACACTGTGCTCAGTGAAGGTCACTGTCTGCTCAGTGAAGGTCACTGTCTGCTCAGTGGTATGAGTTAGGTAGTTGTTGTTGTTGCCATTGTTGTGAGGTAGTCGGGCCCAGGAAGGCCCCAGTTCAGATGAGTCCTCTTTCTTTCCTGAGATGTTGTTATTATATGACATAGAATACAGCGTCCAGTTTGGAGAGGCGTCGGAGAGCTGCTGCGTGGAGCTGGAATCTCTCTTTAGTTGTAGACCTGGGGCTCCCCAGCTGTCCACCTCCCCAGCTGGGGGCCTTCAGTGCTGAAACCAGCAGAGTTCCAGGAAACCAGAGGAGTGGACCAGCACAGACCGGCTTAGATGCTCTTTCTCACCACTCAGCCTTTTGCAGACACAGTGTAAAGAAGCCATTAAATGCTCTGGTGTCTGTCAGTTCCGACCTGTCCTGACCACCAAGAACCCACAACCCCACCCTATCCCCAGACTTTCTGAGGCTTCCATCTTCACGCGGGCAGACGGCCACATCTTCCCTCAGTAGGATGGCTGGTGGGTTCGAACCGCTGACATTTCTGTTAGCCTCCAAGTGCTTACCTACTTCTCCAGCAGAGTTCTAAACACACTGCTAGTTCTTTAATGAGCTAACTTAGTGAAGGAGTTGTGCTGCCAACCCAAAGGCATGGAGTTCGAGCCCACCAACCACTTCACAGGAGAACAATGGTCATTCTCCTGAATGATGTTCAGCCTCTGAAAAGCCACTGGAGGGGCAGCTGGGGGTTGGTTCCAGTTCAGCTGCGCACAAGAACAAGAACAATAAAGCCCAAAGGTGTCATCTCATGCCACTGCCCCACAGTCAACACTGTTCCTTCTCTGGGACCTTGCGAGACCTTTAAAAAGCCCTGCTGGTGACTTTCTGGAGGGCAGTGACTGAGCCCCTCAGGGTGGTAGCACTGTGTAGGGTCCCAGGCTAGGTGTGCTGGGAACAGCCTGTTCTGAAGACAGATGGCAGACTGCCCATCTGGATTTAAAGATGAGCCTCAGGGACACCTTGCTGGAAAATGGAGAAGATAATGAGAGAGAACAGTGACCCTGGGGCGTCACAGTCCAGTGTAGCCACCAATTCATCTTCAGTGTCGAGGCCTGCTGGGCTCCCAGCTGGGCACAGGAGGGGGTAGGGCCCCTCATGGACTGCACCGAGTCCTTTCGAGAGCCCTGGAAGCTCAGGCCCCGCTCCCTTCCAGGAGCCATGGACGGACTCTTCCCCCTCCCCCATGCTGAGCAGACACTGTGATCATGGACTTGAGTGACTTCCATACTTCCAAACCCGCCTCTGTCTCCTTCCCTGTTGTTTGTGTTGCCCAAGTTGAAAGCATTTCTCCCTGAACTGCAATTCCCTTCTTAAATGACACTTAGGAGTTGTTACAAATTGCTAGGGAGCCAGTTCTGACTTGGGATGACCCCACATCCTACAGACCAGAATGCTGCCCAGTCCTGCGCCAGCTTCGTGACCACTGGTCTGCTCAGCTCGTGCTTGGAGCCTCTGTGTGTTTTCTCTGCCTTCTGCCCAGGGGCCCATCTTCCCTCACTCTGTGGACAGACTGTGCTGTGACGCATAGGGAGATTTGGGAAGCAGATGGCCATCACCTTGTATCCTAAGTCTGGAAGCTCTGCTTACACCCAGCCTTTGTGTGTGTCTGTGCTTGGAAGTGGTTGTCAGTTGCTGATGAATTGATTCAGACTCTTCGTGACACTGTGTGAAATGGAACAAAACCCCGCCTGGTCCTCACCTCATCTTCAGTATGCTGCACTTT